ATTTAAGGTTGACTTTGTTAACAGTTCCCTACATACCTATCTCTACTAGTTTTTGGGATATTCAACTGTTAAAAAACAAAAGACGATTTCAATTCATTGAATTAGACCAAATATCATCTAAACCAAAAATGCTAAAAAGCAAAAAAATTCAATATTTCATGCTGAAACTAACTGTCCAACTCACAAAGGTTTTTAGATTTTATGGTTTAGATGCTATTTGATCTGATTAAAAGACCTGAAATTGTTTTTTTTTTTTATAGGGAAGTGTTAACTGCGAACTCTCAAAAATCTTTTGAACAAATTGCATTTACTAAATTTATATTTATGTATATGAAAAGGTGTTTGAAGATATTTGAGATATTTGTACGAATTTNTCATCCAAGCTTCTATTAGTTTACTTTTTTCTCTAATTTTCCGAATATATTTTTTACATATATAAAACGATTAGTTTTTATTGGAAAGTAGTTAATGTAGGTGAAGAGTGAAGATCTATGAAGTGCTATTGCAGCTTTTCACTGAACATATTAACTTTTTATTTGATTTAACTTTAGAAGAAAACTTCGTCGACTCCATCATTAAAAATTTTTTTACTTTTTTAAGGTGTTTTATTATTTTAATAAACAATTCTACAATTTGCGTGCACAGTTCCTATGTAAATTTTTCCCTCATTCGAGTTATAAATTTTGCCACCAGATGGTGTATGCCCATTTGACTGATCCCAATACTATTCGCACACAAAACGTTCCTCTCCTATTATTACTCTGTCATTCGTTTGTATTTTACCTATATATTCGATGTGGCAGGAAATGGGTTCCACTGAGTGCAATGTNAAAGAGCGGCTCATAATATTTCTGAAAAGTTTCATTAATTCTCTCCGCAACATTAACATAACATCATTTAAAAATCCTGTCATATCTAGAGCACAAATGACATATTCTAGGTATTACCATTATCCACCATTTTGAGTCCAACTAATATAATGATGGCGGCAAGTATCTTGTTGGTTCAGTTGGATTTAGAAGTGTCTTCAATTAAAATGAAAATGCAAACTTTTTTCTGTTTATTTTAAAATGTACTTATACATATTTATAATTTTTTGGTATAGGTAGATGTACAGTGGGTCAGCCAGGACTTTTTTCTATGGTTAGGACAAACCTACTGTATATCTTTACACTATGGCCAAGGTCTAAAATGGCGGATGGTAATACTAATGTGTAATATTTCATATAAAAACATCTTTTATGAAGTGGTAGCAATCCATATAACACTCCCTTTAGGTATTTTAATATTGCATTATGAATAACATGCCTGAGAAACTTCTACTAAAGGGTCTAGAATGAAAAGCGGAGGCGTCAATGGGGAGGGGTGCTAAGATGGTTGTATTCCTTAGGCTTATTTTATTCCTACTTAATATCAACTTATACTATGCATGTTCCCTTGCCACTGAAAAAAGGGGCAAGCGACTCGATGCGCATGCACGTAGGAGAAAAAAATTTCTACTTCTGCCTCATCGTAAAAAAGTGACAGTCTAACAACTGAGCTTTATTTGCACGAGAGACCTGATGGTGTGCAGTTCTCTTATAATTATGTTAATAAATAAAAGTAGTTTACCATAAAAGCATGAACGGGCTATTGACTATTATTGGTATATAGATGTACTTTTAATTCTGATGCAGACTAATTAACATTTACCTACAATTAGGCACAAAGCCAATGCGTGTGCATTCGAAAACGTATTTATAGACTTCGACGTCTCATCTATATTCTATGCCTATCTGTGTATGTGTTTAAAACTTTTATTCTTCAACTACTCCCTTATTTACTAACGTTATTTTTAACAAATTAATCTGGTTGTTTTTTTTTTACATAGAACAACAAAAAACTGGGTATGCACTTACGTTTCCCTGTTTCGTCTACAGAAACAGATTTATCCATAACAGTTAAGCCTGCTGTTAACTTAATTGTCAGATAATGTTTTGAGAGAAAGGTCTATAAACGTTTATGTACTATATATATATGTTGAGAACAGGAATTTATAGGTAGAAAGAAATAAAAACAGAGAGATTATGCTTGTAAAAACAAATGTTTATAGGAAACTGACTGTTTTGAAGTTGAAATTTTTTTAAGTTGTTTATCACCTTGATCGTAACTTTTTAGAAATAACGAGTTCGGTACTGTTGTAATTATATACGTAATTAGAATTACCATTAAATTGCTTTTCTGCAATAGGTTAATGAAGGTGGAAGTGAACATATAAATTAATAAAATAAGGATAAATAAAGCTCTGGGGTGACATTCCCTTTATTATAAACAGATAACGAAAGATTTAAAACAATATTTATAACTAGCATAATTTTTATTAATATTATATATAAAAGAAATTATGAGTGCTGTCAGCACACGACAAAACGTATTTACAAACATTTCTATTAGAAAAATCATAATGGCCGACATTTGTGACAATGCGACAACAATTGAAAAAGAATGATGGCCGACAACAGCAACAATTAGAAAAGAATGATGGCCGACATCAGTAACAATGCGACAACAATTGAAAAAGAATGATGGCCGACAACAGCAACAATTAGAAAAGAATGATGGCCGACACTACGTCATAGTATTGTTCACAAAAGTGAATTTCGACCGAAGCAATGATATTAACAGTTTTGAGTTAACAGTGATTGATAGGGGGATGAACTAGTTTTATTTAAATAAAATTGAAGGTCTGTTGTTCTATTTTAATCAATCTTAGGTTGTTACTGTGGGTGTATAATATAATATGTCTATAATTAACTAGAGTGTAGGGTCTGTCATTTTTTTCAAAGCGAAGAAGCTCAATACAGAAGGGTGAGCTTGTCTCAAAGGAAGTTTACCCATTTAACTCATTTGCCTTTATTTACGGTTTATTAAACATTCAAGGAGGTTGAAATAAAAATATGGGATGGAATAAAGGTTCATTTGCCTTTTTAGTTTTTACATATGTTACCCTATTAGTTTAGTTAACGAACAACTAATTAATTTATACGTATATGCATGTGTTAAAAGAACAAGATTGTTAAAGTATCTTCTTCAATTTTTATATCCAATGTAAAAAAAAAAACAAAATAAGAAACGTTATTTTTTTTGAGCTTCGCGATGTTAGCACATCTTGTATGGAATTTTAGAAAACTAGTTATATCTACCATCTGAAAGATCAGAAAATGATCAGAAAAAGTTAATTAATCTCATTAATTAGTCAGTCACTGATAATTCTTTATTAATTTTTTAAGTTTGTCGAAGTCATTGGAAAATGTTACACCTCATTTCTTATGAATAAAAATAATTAAAGGAAGTGATATTCGATGGATAATTAATTATCTGATGATAATTGGTGAAGTAAAATAAATAATTGGTCAAATTAAGTTAAAAAACCAATAATTAAAATCAGCAGAAAAAATATTAATTGGCCTTTTTTGACCATATTCTGGCCTTTCACATGGTATAATTGGTTTTTAAAATCCCATACATGGGGTACCAACATCGCGGAGCCAAGTTGTTGGTGAGTAATTTATTGAATAAATATTATAAATATTTATACCTACTTCAATGTTTTATTTATACTTAAAAGTATAAATTTTCACCAAGTAAATGGCGATTCCATCATGCATTTTTATAGAATCATGCAGATGCATGGTAAATTCACCTCAATAAAAACAAAAAAAATGTATTTATGTATCTCCGACACAGGGACAAAAGATCAGCATGCTTAAGAGTTGGAGTTAGCTTAAAATAAAATAGGAGCGGTATTGTTAGATGAAAATTAATAAAAATAAAATAATATTGGTATGTAAAGAATGCAAAAATGAAAAAGACGAGAACTAGAAGAAATCGCTGATTTTAGATATTTAGGGAGTCTGATGACTCAGATTGGAAAAAGGGTTAGAGATATGAAATAAAGAATGATGCAGGGTCAGGTCACTTTGGACAAAAAGAAATCGCTTTTGTGCTTGAGACCGGTCAGTTTGGAAACGATTATTAAAGGTGTAACTTTATAGTACGGGCCTGTATGGATGTGAAACGTGGACGAAGGGCGCTGCGGAAAATAAAAGGTTACAACTGTTTGATATATGGTTTTATAGGAGAATATTAAGAATACTGTTGATAAAAAATCGGCTGTCTGTAAAGTCGGTTTACTGACGATGGTCGAACGTGACAACGTCATAAGAAAATACTGATGGAATGGTTTCATTTTTCAAAAGAAAATTTTAATTTTATTCGTTTGATAGATATTTTGTATGGATATAGAGAAGGAGGTAAATGGAAATGTATTATTGTATAGCAGCTGTCCACGCGGACGCATCGCTCACTCAAGTAGGAGAGAGACAGATGTCGAACGCTGCCGAACGCGGAAGCCGATTGTGCCTCTTTATCGCTCGTTCCGCGCTCTCGCTTGCACTTCAAGCCTTAAATGGAACGCCTCAGAGCGAGGTAACGCCGCATGAGTCATGTTTTTTCGTGCGTGCAGCCGGCTCCATCGAATTATAAGACGTTGTCACGTCAAAAAAGGTTACAAACGAAGAACTATTAGAATGAGTAATAGAATAAAGGGAAACTAATAAGAAATGGGTAGATAGGTTGGTAGAACACCTTCTCAGGCATGAGAGGCTAGTTAGAGACATATTAGACGCAGAAACAGGAGTTAAGAGGTGCAGAGGTAAACCTAGACTAGATTACTGTTCGCAAATGGTTAAAAATGCTTGAGTTTCCAAGAAATGCGAAAATTGGCTGAAGATAGGAAGAAGTGGAGGTGGGTGTCCAATTATTAAATTACGCAGATGTGACATGTAGGCATAATGTTTTTCAATTTATTTAACAGCCAGCGTTATAGATACGATATGCAATTCAATGTTTCGCAAAGTCGATTTAATAAAACTCGACTGTGCATACTAATCAGTTTTTTTATCGTATATGTGTATATATTTTTAGAGTTATGTTTACATTTCTTGTTCTTTTTTTTTTAGCTCCTAGACTAGACATTGAAAATCTGCAGAACGGCTATCACGGTCTAGTGAAGGAGAACGAGACTCTGGTCGAGGTGACTCCTCCGATCAGGGCAGTGGACGAGCCCGTGTGCAGTTACCGCATAGTAAACAAGCATCATGGCGAAGCTCCTTTCGACATTATCTCGTTGGAGAATGGACTTGCTGAATTGCGCGCCAAACGGGTGCTTAATTGCGAAAAGAGGCGGAATTACAAGTTCGACATCGCCGCCGTCGGATGCAACGGCAGGCAGAGTGAAAAGTGAGTCTCAAATTTATTATTTGTTTAGATATCTGTACGTAAAATGATAGCCATGTCCTAGGACAGCGCGCTCCACGAAATTCTTCACACTATAAAGCACGATTCACACTGTCGGTCAAGTTACGATCCTGTGGCAGTTAAATAAAATTCGATTCACACTGTCGGTAAAGTTACGGTCAGGTCGCAGTTAAGTAAAATTCGATTCACACTGTTGGTCAAGTTACGGTCCGGTCGCAGTTAAGTAAAATTCGATTTACACTATCGGTCAAATTACGGTCAGGTCGCAGTTAAATAAAATTCGATTCATTCGCTCAAGTTTCGGTCCGGTTGTAGTTAAACAAAATTCGATTTACACTATCTGTAAAGCCACGGTTCGGTAGCAGTTAAGTAAAATTTGAATTACACTATCGATCAAATTACAGTCAGGTTGCAGTTAAATAAAACTCTATTCACACTGTCGGTAAAGTTACGGTCAGGTCGCAGTTAAGTAAAATTCGATTCACACTATAGCTCAAGTTACGGTTCGGTCGCAGTTAAGTAAAACTCTTTTCACACTATCGGTCAAGATACGGTCAGGTCGCAGTTAGATAAAATTCGATTCACTCGGTCAAGTTACGGCCCGGTTGTAGTTAAACAAAATTCGATTCACACTATCTGTAAAGCTACGGTTCGGTAGCAATTAAGTAAAATTTAATTCACACTATCGATCAAATTACAGTCATGTTGCAGTTAAATAAAACTCTATTCACACTGTCGGTAAAGTTACGGTCAGGTCGCAGTTAAGTAAAATTCGATTCACACTGTTGGTCAAGTTACGGTCCGGTCGCAGTTAAGTAAAATTCGATTTACACTATCGGTCAAATTACGGTCAGGTCGCAGTTAAATAAAATTCGATTCATTCGCTCAAGTTTCGGTCCGGTTGTAGTTAAACAAAATTCGATTCTCACTATCTGTAAAGCTACGGTTCGGTAGCAGTTAAGTAAAATTTGATTTACACTATCGGCTAAGTTACGGTCCGGTTGCAGTTAAGTAAAACTCTATTCACACTATCGGTCAAGTTACGGTCAGGTCGCAGTTAAGTAAAATTCGATTCACACTAAGTCAAGTTACGATCCAGTTGCAGTTAAGTAAAATTCGATTCACACTAACGATAATTTGATCTGAATGTGACTTGACCAACAGTGCGGATTGGGCTTGAAGCTGGTCAAGTCACGATTAAGTGAAGATATCATTGGAGAGAAATACTGTAGTCAACTGACTTGAGCGTGTGACTTGACCGTTTCTAATCATCATCATCACGGTCAGTTCAAAAATTTGTTGGAGAGAAAATAGTATGAATACACCTATATGTAATGTGTGATATATTTTCTTAGCTATGACCGAACCGTTACTTGACCGTTAGTATAAATTGGGTTCTAAATATTATTATATATAAAAGAAATTATGAGTGCTGTCATCACAGGGTAAAGTAAGTACTACGTAGTTAGTATCGGCAATTTCTTATGCTGAAGTGTACAATGTGTTGCATATCTATTTACGAACAATTCCTTTAAAAATTTTTTAAACAATTTTTAACACAAAGAAAGTGATTAAACAAATTGTTCACAAAAGTGAATTTCGATCACTTGAAAAGCAATGGTGCTAACAGTTTCGAGCTCACAGTAACTGATAAGGGGGAAGAAATAGTCATTATAAAGTTTTTTTTTTTTTCATTTAATATAAGTGTCATAACAGCCATTGTAGTTGAAAAATACAAAAATACATAAAAAAAAAATTTCACTCCTGTTTGTCTACGTGACTTTGCACTGACTGTGATCGTATGCCCTTTATGATGTTAACAGTGGCATATTTGACCTGACCGTGACCGAACTGTGATCAGATCGTGACTCCACCGATAGTGTAAATCAGCCTTTACCCATTTTCCCAGATATTTCCTAACAGTTTGAAATAATGTTAGAATGAGAACTAACTTATGTATTTACCTGTATTTATGTACATACTATGTCATATGCAAGTATATTGTACATGCCATACGTATAGAATTGATTTCATACGCCCATATGGGTCAGCAATAAATTAAGGTAATCTATATAATGTAAGTTATTATGATAGCATCTGAGTCTTTCAACTATAGAGTTTTTATCGATTTATACCACACCAATGCATAAAAACACGCGATTCGACCAAATCAATGCTTCTATTTGCTGTAGTAAACTAAAGTCCTTCCGAATATGTAGTAATACAAGCTTTATACGTTGCTTTTGTTCTTATACGTACATAGCAGCAGAAAAAGGAACAAAACATGAACTTATTGATCTCAAGTTTGTTCAGATTTTGGGTTACCTACCATGCTTTTGTTGAAATTTTCATCGAGTTGCCAAATTACTGAAAGAAAAAGAGAACGATATTTTACTATAGTGGCAACTCGTGGATATGTAACACTACAGTATTTGAGAATAAATAACAGAAGTTACGAAATTTCCCAACTTATGTGAGCCTCTGTAATGCTTAAATCGGATGTCACCCTGCCTAATCGTTTAATTTCCCCTGCTTTGCTTGAATGTATATAATTGCTTTATTAGCTGGTCCAGATGTTCAAAATACAGAATTTGTGAATTTTTGTTATAGTAAAGAAAACTCTTTGTATTTAGTAGTTTTCCAAATTCGGTTAGCTGATATTAATGGACAACTAGATGTAGGTATATTAGTAGTTTTTCCACCAGGGGCTCATACATAACAACAACGACCCATTATATAATATACATATAGAAATTTTTATATAGTTAACATTTAAATATACTTGATAACAGATTACTCCACCCGCCACTGTTTTATTGTATTTTTCAACACGAATCTGTTTTCATACTCTTTTTCAAACCAAAGCAAATTCTTCACATTTTTATCAATTTTTTCTTGTTTTCAATAATGTGTAACGGGTCCCTTACGGTTTCATTTCACTTGCTCCTAATTCTACTAAAGAACTTCGCTTTGGTGCTTCAAGAGCATTTTGTGGTAGGGTTTTCCATAATTTAGTTTCGCTTTATTCTGTAATTAAATTTTAACAATAATTCTCGTTACACGATCGTCTACACAAAGTTTGTTCCACCGAACTTGTTAAATGTAATTTCCAATTAATTACATCTAGTAGGTCTGTAATACAAAATCAATACTATATGTATTATACACATATCTTGCCACTAGTAGCAATTTATGCAAATGCTTATTTACTGAAGAGTGAAAAGAACCGTGAGAGTAAAAAATCAACTAACTTTTAAATTAATGGAGGTAGGGTGTCTCCCTCCTGCTCTTTACATTCTAGATTGCTTAAATATCTTTGGATAAACTTGTTTGATAAAGCAAAAAGGATTAAAGCCCGATTCATACTATCGCTTTAGTCAGGGTGCGGTCACTATCAAGTAAAATATTGTATTTTTTGGGGGTGATTTTATCTTTTTCCAAAAAGTTTTTTAACAAGTTAGGTTTGGGTTAGGTTACGTTGGTTTTTGCTTTTTATTTACACCTCTCCAAAGTCCAAAGCAAAAGTTACATTTTCCTCTTTGGTCGAATTTATTTTTTATGTATTTAATGAATATTTAATAAATTCCTTTTTTTTTCAGTGCAACAGTACATATCACCGTGGCCGACGTAAACGAGTACGCGCCAACGTTTTCTGAACCAAGTTACGTAAGGCAAGTGGATGAGAGCAAAATTTACCGTGAAATTGTCAGGGTGGAGGCCACTGACCGAGACTGTACTCCCAAATTCGGAGACGTATGCAAATACGAAATTTTGACGTCAGACCAGCCGTTTGTCATCGATGTTGACGGGGTCATACGTAACACCGAGCCCTTGGATTACGAGAGATCACACAATCATATCCTTAGCGTTGTAGCTTATGACTGCGGTAAGTAGCCATATGGGAACATGTATAAGCAGAAAGGGATATAACAATAGCTTATTTACCCTTGGAAGGTGTTCAAATAAAGAAATAATACAACAGAAAATAAATGTTTAGATCACTAACAGATATCAGAAGATATGTAAGAGGGGGGGGGAGTGATTTCACTCACTATTCTGGTACATTTTTTTCTGTATTTAGTTATAAATAGTTGGGAATGAAATTGACGTCATGCGAAAAATATTACGTCTTAAATGCACAAAATAAATATAATTTATAATTAATACTAGTAGAAAATATCTTAAATTACATAAACTATGAAATAAGTATCGACCGATAAGTGGAAAGAATGCACGCCTGTCTTGCGGGCGGCCTAGTTTCGATTCCCGATCGACGGAATACATTTTTTTTATTTTAGGATAAATAAAAGTCGACTTCCATACATCCTACACCGCGATAATAATATTCATGCGTATCATACTAAGAGGTAACCATTTTAAAATGATTAATTACAAGATGAATTCAGTGATGAAAGACATAGTATTGCTACATTGTATGCAAGTATGAGACTTTCTCATAATAATTGCTGATTACGATTATTGCATGATCAGTAATATTTAATCAGTAAGTTAGTTGTTACTGGGCATGTAACTATGTACAATAATAAATAATAGAAATATTGTGCATTGTGGTTAGTAAGTGCGGTCACAGGTGTGACTATCAGAACCACCATGGTCGGACATAATGATTGTGGCATTAGAATAACCCTGCAGTTGTTCACACATTCATTAATGCTCAAGAAGCGACCTGATAGCGGCATGTCATACTGCAGTAGTACCTATGTGTGAATTGGCCTTAACAAATTGGTCGAAGTCGAATTTCGACCAATAGCGGTACTAGTTCACCTTGTTGAGAATAATTACAAATAATGAGCCCTACAGAAGACAATAAGCAAAGATGTTTTTAAATCATAAAATTTGATAATTTTATCCTAAAACTTTTCTTTTTCGCTAAACTTTAAATTTTTGTATTTATATAAACTTGAATCATTCGCATCAGATACACTTAAATAAACATAATTTTGTTGAGACCTATAAAATGACATTGCTGGTCAAACTTTCTTATTTCATACCCGAGTAACACATTTTAATTTCTTAGAACTTTGCTTAATTTTAATACACTTCTGTTAATGTATTTTTTACTTACGAATATTGAGCTAACTAAAAACATGATAACAAATAAAGGTTGGGGAATTTTGGCGTCTGGCTTTTGATCTGGAAAATATGTATTTAGTAAAATAATAAAAAAAGATCACTGTATACCATACTTCTTGCGAAAATTAAATTTTAGTAACCCTCACACTTCCTATGTAATTTTAAAAAAATTTAATGCAATTATATATACATTTGTTCCTTATTATATACTTTAATTATTAACAAAACGTATAATAAAAATGTAAAGTTATTGAATATTTTTATCTAAGGAATGCGTCAAAGTTTGCCGGTTATGGTGACAATCAAAGTAAATCGTGTGTGTCGCCTTGGATGGAGAGGACTTCCTGAAAGGGTGGACTACGCTCCCATGTCCGGAAAACAGGAACTGTTCCCATCTGCAAGCTTGGAACTTTGCGACGTACCTTGCAATATTAGAGAACTGCGCACCAGGGTTGATCTTGCGACAAGGTGAGAGCTACACTGTTGTTATTGTTCTTTTTTCACTTATCATATTAGTAATAATTATGAGAACTGTAGGAATGTAATACACATACTCGAATGAACCGCTCTTCAAATAATAATAAATATTTTATTGTGCATCTATTTAACTACATATTTGGTTGAAGTGTGAATTTAAAAACAAAAACAAATAAAATCCAAAGTGTCAGTTAAAACGAAATAACGTCATAATTTTTCCGAAGACTGATTGGAAATCCACGTGCACAACTAAGTCTTCCTCTTGTGTCCTACCACCCAGTATATCCTTTACTTTATTGACTTCCATAGCGCCCTTTTGTTTCCTTCTTTTTTAAATATCTCCTATTTTCTGACCTTTCTATTAATAATAATAATATATTAATCATCCGCCCATAACACCTGATCTCAAACTCTTGCAACTGTTTTTTGTTTTTCAAATATTTTATATTCAGATATTCTTATTTACACATTTAATCTGGGTGCATTTTGAGTTTGTGAATATTATATGTTGTCACACAAAATAGCTCTTGTTTCTTATCAGTTTACGACCGAATGTCTATCGCAGTGACGGTAAAAAAGACGCGAATTTATGGGATAATATAAATGTTTCAATAAAAGAAACAGCGATTATAATTGAGAGCATTTTTTGTTTCGAAGACCCAAAAAAGTGTCCAAAGGGGTCATATAAGTGGCAGTTTGCCAGTTTAGATGTCTGGTTGCTTAACTTTCTGACATTTATGTCTTATAAAATTTTCACTCAATTGTGCAAAGTAGGACAAACTGAGAGGTATCTAAAAGTTCATTTTAAAGAGCATCCAGCTTATATACTTTGTATACTCACACATGCATATTTTGGGATAAGTACAAATGTATAATATGTAGTTCAAGTGTCACGGCAAGTATTTCGTTGCCCTATTTAATACACACGTTCCTCAAATTCTGCACAATTTAACTTTATTTCGTTACTCTTATGTACGATTTTTTTACAATGAAATGAGAATATATTTTGGTTTTTAATAATTGTTTGTGTTTTTTGTGTTGTCTACATTTTTGAAATGTTTAATTTAGAAAAAATAGTAATTAGTAAATTAGAAATGACGACTTATTCGACTTAAATTTGCGGAATGAAAAATCATCAAAATTGACGAATTAATATACATTTACGAATGTTTATTGTAAGAATATATTTTAAGGAGGTCAAAGAAATGGCAGGTTGCCAGTCTCGTATTTCATCAAATTTTATTGGCGTTGAACGGAAGCAACTGGTTTTTGACTTTGCATTTGAAAAATATTCCGGAATCATGTCATTGAATTTCATAAAAGGTGCAAATGTGTCGTCGTCTGCTCATCAGCTTCCCGACAACTACGACGACGCTCTTTCCTGCCCTAAAGGATCGGAAGTATTAATTTTGCGTCCTGAATATAAATGACGTTTTATGCAAATTATCAACAGTTAATAATGCAACAACGTGCGTCTTTATACATCTGCTTACTAATTGCTACATTCAGTACATAATGACAGATTAGGAAGTACGTAACTGACGATGAAAATGAAATGGTGAAGTTACTTTCATTTCATAATATTAAACTAATGAAGACAACATATAAGTATTTAAAAATTCATTAAACAATTACCTACTACAAGGACAGTGTGTATAATAATAATTAAAAATAATGTTTACGTCTGAATTGTTAACATTATTATTATCATTATTACCAGACGACTTTAAATGAAATAAGGAACGGATTTATTTATACGCAATACGCATGCTAACACATGTTAATTAACCTTCCTACTTTTAAAAATTAAATAAATAATAAATTGTCTAAATAAAATAATTCGAAGTGGTCTGTATTCTGTCGAAACTGCCAGACGCGAATCGCGATTTCGATCTTTTTGAATCTCATCAGCGCGTCGCAGACAGCTCCGACAGAACACAGATTACTGTGTCTTCAGCAAGTAGATATCCACACAAGTGGACCTTATTGGAGCATACGTAATCCTAAAATGTAGCATCGTGCTACAGATGGCGTTTACTGCGCCATTTGTGGTATTTAATAAAGTGTCTGCTTAACAATAATAAAAAAAAATTATTGTATCCATTTTTATTTTAAAATCTTTTAATCAAAAACTTTATGTTTTTTATTTGTTCACAAACTTGATAATTTTGGAATAGAAAAAGCTTAAATATTTGCAACTCGAGATATCACTTAAAAATCCATTTCGTAAGGTGTACTAAAAAATGTACATCATTCAATGTTCGCTGATAGAGACGAATTTGCACCCACTTTATTAGGGGAAAACCACGTTGTGATATCATTTAAATACATAGATCATAATTATTATGTATGTACCAGCTAAATAAATATGCAAATAGATGTACTACTTCATTCTAACGCTTGTACATAAGTCACTGTCTTTTTTTTTAATGTACGTTTTTGATATTCTTTCCCATAGGCATATAGGAAAAGGTTGTGACAGAGACACATACAGTGTCCAATCGCAACGTAAATTGTGCGGTGCTTCGCCATCAGCGATTGACCTATTACCAACTCCGGGAATGGGTGCCGAATGGACCAAACCACTGATTTCCGACGAAGGGCATGAATCAGACCAAATGTTCGAGTTCGATGGCCACAGTACTGCAGTTGCAATTCCTACAACCGTTCTCGACCACAATTTGGCATCGACGTTCACAATAGCCACCTGGATGAGACATGCACAGCATCCAGGTCAGGATAAGCATGTTAAGGAGCATATCTTATGCAGCGCCGATGACCATAGTAAGTGTACGAATTGATCTTTTTGCGAATAAGAAAAATAAAAATTCTGAATAATCCCGAAATACTTAATTGCAATTAATGATGTGTCAGTCTTCATAGACTGTACATTTCCACTTTACCAAGCATGTATGGTCTTGTGTTTTTAACCGGAATTAAAATAAAAAATTAAAAGGACGACACCCCTAATTACAAAAAAAAATTTATTTGAGCAAATACGTGTTTCGCCCACTTCATACGTGGGCATTATCAACGCGTTAGTTAGGGGTGAGTCTTCCTTTTAATTTTTAATTAAAATTTTACCACAGTGTCCTCTTTCTACTTTGGAATTAAAATGTTTTTATAATTCAAAGCAATAAATGATTGAAGTATTTTAAAATTGAAGTCTGATCTCTAAGAAGAAATACATTCTTTCAATTTATAATTTACATTTTTTAACATGTGATTTAAATATTCGCCATAAAAAGTAATTCAAACTAATTTTTTATTAAAATACTAAAACGATATTTTTTTTTTCAGAAATGAATAGGCACCATTATGCTCTTTTTGTACGAAACTGTAGGCTGATTTTGCTCTTACGAAGAGACTTCTCAGAGGGCGATTTGAATATCTTCAGACCTGCTGAATGGCGATGGAAAATACCGCAGGTATGTACATCTTTGTTATTTTATATTAATTACTTTAGATATGATGAATTTAATGTGTTAAAAAGCAAGTAATGAAAAGTTAGAAAACTTTATCGAATAAATATTTATTGTGTTCTATTTTTTAAAGGTATGTGATGATCAGTGGCACCACTATGCAGTAAATGTAAGATTTCCGGATGTGGAACTGTATATAGATGGACAACTGTTCCACACTGAAAAGAAAAATCCAGAAGTTATAGATGATTGGCCTCTACATCCTACTAAAGGCATTAACACTACAGTTACCGTTGGAGCTTGCTGGCAGGTAACAAAAACAAAAAAAAAAAACACTTTCTGAACGTAATCAAAAATTTTATTTTCCTAAAACTAACGTATCACAAGTGAACTAAAACAAAATATTCTTTTGAAAGGGCTCTGAGAATAAAATGAAGCACAACCTGAAAGGGTACTTAGCTGGACTTAGTATCCTCCTGAAAGAAACTGAAAAACCAGAAGTTTTAAGTTGTCTGCATCAGTGCAAAGAAAGCTTACAGGTAATAATTAACGTTAAATTATTATTTGTGTTTCTCTCTTGAAACACCTCATTTTTCTCTAGGTACCTGCCATGGAACTGCTCCAACCAGGTATGGAACTACTGACCAATTCTGACTTAACAGAAGTAACAGTTGAAGGTGATAATCGTACTAATCTCGAAACTCTGGTGCGCAAGGTCGGCTACATAAATTCCCGAGAATTTCCCACTCCTGGTCGTCGTAACCTTCGTCTCGTTACTTCGGTCGTTTGTGACAACGGTAAATCTGTTAAGGTGCCAGACTCCCAGACGTATGTCATGGTTCTTAGACCACAGACACCCAGCATCATTTTAAACGGAACTGGAAATATGGCTCGCAAGTACGACGACTTCCGTCTTGGTGTACGTGTACTCGCTGACATTCGTATTACTGGCGAACAAAAGTTGGACAAGTGTTCGTTAACTATTTATCCCAATCTGAATCCGGATCATGAGAATCTCAGTGTACCTGAAGAGATGTTGAAAAATTTAGGTAAATTTAATTTATTGTTCGTAACTTGCCATCAAATGTATGAATAAGATTTGTTTATACACATTTTTTATATAAATGTTTGTTTTAGGAATGGCAGCAAGAATATCGAAAGATGGCGTTACAATAACCGGGTCTGACATGGTCTACAATTATCAGCAAGTACTAAGACAGATTGTGTACACCAATCGCAAGCCAGCTTATTACCTGAATCGAGTATTTAAATTAACCTGTTCTGAATTAAATGGAAGGTTTAGCTCCAACGAATATGTTCAAACAGTAAGTAAATATTCTTAGTTTTATTTTGTTTGTTGCTAAAACGTAAAAATACAAATTGCCTTAATTGATTATAATAAAAATGTCACTAAAACTAATAAACTCAGCAGTGTTGTAGCCAGCAACAGAAGAAACCAGATTTTTTTAAAATTAAATACTTTTTGTTTTAGTTGACAGTGATTCACCCCCAGCCTAAAGAACACGTCTCTAATGCCATGGTGAACAAGCATAACGTTGAAATCAAACCAGCGTCAATTGTATCCCAGGAGTACATTCCAACCGATCACTTAAATGTAATGGCTGCTGGAGGTTCGCACGCTGTCACGATCATCGTAGTGGTCTGCGTCGGCTTTCTGTTGTTTATGATTGTTCTCGGTGTAGTGCGCATCCGAGCCGCTCACCACAAGTCCACGAATGAGGAGGCACAAGAATCGGAGATGACGTGGGATGACTCGGCACTTACTATCACTGTTAATCCTATGGAGGTGAGTACATACTTGTCATTTTATCTTCCATGCAACTCTAATATCGGCAAAAAAATCACTGGCAAAATATTGGGATGTGACATGTGGGCGCGGCCTAATGGAGATGGCTGTCCATACATTGCATCAGTATTATAGAAAGCATTGCATATTGTGATTTTTAATTTTTCTAATGATAAATTTAAAAACAATTTTTGATTGGGCTAATGCAAATCCAAGCTCAAGAAGTGTTGTGGAAGCCGAAAAACTTTTGAAAGTGAGCAAACTCTTGTACATGAACTGACATTTTTAATTTTTAAAGCTCTTTTCCAAGCTTTAATTTGATCTATTTTCTCAAGATTACCAAATACATTTGTGATAGTTACGACCCGTTGCACCGTAGGAAAATCGACTTGTACAACCTTTTACAGCACAAACGGTTCTGCACTTTGATTTTGCACGAAATGGAAATTTGGCCAGTTCCATATTATATAAAATATTAATAATCACAATTTGCAAAATAACACAGTACACAATAGCTATTTATTACAATGCAATGCTTGGGCAGTTAAAATTTCTGCCACCAGGTGCGTATCGTTTTATGTCAAATCCCAATATGTTTTATCTAATTTAAATTATACAACTTTTATTGCTTTATCTTTTTCTTCTATACTATTGGTTTGATGTGTGTTTACATTGGTCCTAACATAGCTACGTTTGACGCTTCTGATTCTTTAACTAATTTTAATAATATTTCTTTAATTTGGTTGGTCTGATTTTTGAATGATTTGGTTACTTTAATTTGCTTGGTGTTTTTATGTAGACATATGTGATAATGTTTGATTAATCTTCATGGTTTTTGTGCAGTTATGTTTAAAGTGGAGTGTCCGATTTTTTTTTCAGTTAATTGACTAATAAAATAGTGTATGGCGTTTTGGTTTGAATTTGCATGATTTTAAGTGGCTCATTTGTTTGGCAATTTAAAGTGGCTTTGTTGAGGTTATCTGTTCGATAGTGTACGTTATTTCAGTAGAACGATATAAGTTCGTTTTGGTTTGTGTTGCCTGGTTTTATTCGGCTTTTGGTTAGTAAAGCACCCTTACCTCGTTTTGGCTTCATTGGACGTATTAGCAAAAAAAAAATCAATAGATCGGTCCGTCGTAATTTCAGAATGCAGAGCGTAAACTTCAAGGAGAGACCGTAGAGTATTCGGATTCAGAACAGTCGGATTCCGAGAGTTCTTCGGATGACGATAATTTGGATGGTCCTTGTAGGATGCACGACACCTCTGATGAGGAAGAAGATGAACAGCCTACCACCCGAAGAACTGGCGGCAAGCATGAATACAGGAACGTGAGCCAGTTGGAGTGGGATCACTCCACAATGTAATTTACATAATACATACACACGTAAACACAAACACACACACATTACCGTGCGGGAGAATTATTATTGCCGAAGACTAGAGATTCAATTTTGAAAGTCTTTTAAAACAATAAAAGAAACTTTTTCTAATAATATTAAGACTACTTCAATCTCGAAAAGTGACAAATCTGAAAAGCTTTCTTGAAAACAAAAATGCTCTCTATAATCGACAAAAAATAATTTCTCCCATATGAACCGGTAATTTCCCGTTACGTAAAAGAACCTTAGCTGTTCGTTGTAACGATGGCGCTTACCACCATGCACAATTTTGCTTGTTCGCCCTGTGCTGCGAACCAATACGAAATATCCTACAGGTAATTAGATTACACATGTATATGCACACTTCTAAAAATATCTTTCCTCGAATAAATTTGTGACAGTACGAATTGATTTAATTATATAATTAATTATTTAGAAGTTTGACATTTGAAATAAATTGTATGTAGTCTGCATACCTACTGTTTTACTTTTTTAATTGATCTGATTAAAAAGAAAATAAATCTGAAAGCAATAGCATTTAATGACTCAGGAAAAGACGTATTTGTACGCAGTTGCACGGAGGCGAGCGATATCAACAAATAATCGTCCATAAATTTAGTGGTTACAGACCTGGTGTATATCCTTTACACTCTTAGGTATTAGAAAGTATTAACGTACGAATAATTTACCGGCTTAGCAATTTTCGTCGTTCTTTTTCATGTTGAAATCCTTTCAAAAATATCCTTTCCCTTTATCTCTATTCTACTAATGTACGTGTGTTGTCAATGCCGAGAAGACGTAATCCTATAATATTTGTACATTATTTTTCATTCTAAAATTTAATTGCTACCACATTACGACTGCACCTTGTATAATATACATATACATATCGGTGAGCAAATTACAATATACAATATACAATACATCTTCGGTGCAGTTAAACTAAAAAGTAGTTTAGTTCAAGTGTCAGTTGCAGACAGTTTTATGTTTATGTCAGTTTTGGAGTAGAGGTTATAGTGGTTAATTAGTGTCAAACAAAAGTTACAAATAATTGTTAAAGTGCTAATTNTAAAGAGAAGAGTATTTAAAAATTTTCTTCTAAAAGACTGAAGATTTTAATTGAGCAATGATTAAACAAATAATTCTGGTAATAGACATTTATAACAACATTCTGAAAACCTGAAATAATAGTAGAGAATTAATTATAATTGAAATTTTGATTTGTTGGTTTTGGTTCGTGGTACCTCTCTTTTCCTCGCCTATATAACATATCCAAATTAAAAGGCTTAAAAGTACGTAATTTGCCTTTGAGCTTAATACGTTTGCATTACAGCAATAAAAATTTTTCGAGTAGATTGATAGTTTTGTTCGTCCTGTTAATATAGTATTGCCATAACTATAACGCTTCTTTTGTACTTAAAAATCTAGTTTGTAAGGTATTTTTCACTACTACACCTCTACGGTGAGCATATGCACAGTTTTAGTTGTAAGAACTGCCTTGTTCATCAACTGCATTTCTTCTTCGACTTTTTCTTTATTGACGATTGGTAAGCTTTTAATGTCATTGACAAAACTTCATCATAATTTCGTTCAATGCCTTATTCTTATTTTAAATATCTTGGCGTTTTGCACTATCTAACTTGGTGTTTCTTTTCTATTCTGAATTCTAACTAGAAAAAAATCTTTTGTACATATTTCAGTACTTATTTAAACAATAAATAAGTTGTTTTTGTTAGATCAGACGATTGCTTAAAAAAGGTATTTTCGTAAAAATTAAAATGTGGTTCCTTGCAGAGATTCTTGCGTTTGAGATCTTTAAAGATGTCGTTTAAAAAAATCTGCAATAGACTAACTAACCAACAACAATCTACTAAGTATATCATATTGCAATATATTGAAATGTTGATCAGTTTTAAATGTATGGCATTTTAGGATAGTAACTGTGATGTCATGAAAAATAAGCTGTTTAGTTAGAATGAAGCTTGGTAAGTCCAGGCCAGTCAAATTAAAATCTTTCATTGGTTGAAAATTTGAAGCAATCGTGATATAATATAGAATAAAACATAAAATTGTTGTAAATGTTCTATTAATGCAAATGTGCAAAATTCATGAAACTGCTAAGAGGGATGAGAAAAATTTATGACAAAATTATACAAAATTCTATCTTAATTTTTGGTAGAATTTTTAATCGTATTTCTAAAGTATATTTATTTTACAATAAAAGGTCGCAGTTTTTCTTCATTTTTGTTGAGCAGTTTGAATTACTCGAATATTTACTGCAAAATAAATTTTATTTTTTATAGTATGAGTTGCGATTACTTTGCATTTCAAAGATTAATTTGATTGGTCTATTTTGTAACCCACAGTTTTGCGTTAAAACTGCCGCATTTATTGCGTTCAATCCGTAGTTGTTGCACTCGTTAACAGTAATGAATTAAATAATGATAATTACTATTAAAATGATGATTGTAATGTTTTATCAATAGAAGTAGTCAGTCACCAGCAGCTCTTTAACTGTCCAGTTTTAGTGCGAAACTGTAATCGAGAAATATAATGAAAATGAGAACACTATTTTTTGACAAGAAATAGTTACATTCCATGTGCAAAATGTTTGTAATCTTGAATTACATACGAATCTGCTTTGTTATGTGTTACAAAATCAAATAATATCTGAAATGTCTTAGGTGTTATACCACAATAAGTATGTAATACATAAGTGTATATTGAGTAATAAATAAATATATCCCTATCGATATATTGAAGGAACCAACAGTGAAAAATCATTAAATTTAAAACAAGACTAGCCCGCGAGAAGTGTCGTGCGTAATTTTCACACTTGTTATATGTTTCGGAGCGTTGCTCGTATGCTATGAATACAGTTGATAAAAGATTTATCTTAATAGGTTAATAAATAGCAAGTTTAACTGCAACGTTAAAGTAGCAATTTTTAATATCCAAGAATTGACAAAAACAAAGTTAACTTTTACGTTTGTATTAAATTATATCATTAATAGAATTCTGTGATTTGATTAAACTATTTGTACTGTATCTGCATACATGCGGATATCTATGATCTTTAATAGTTCATTAATCTATGATCTTTTCTATTTTAGAATCTATGGTTCATTTATTTTCTTCTATAGGCTTTCATTCTGTGGTTTTCGTTTTCGTCACTTTATTTTCTTACCAGTCTTTCTTAATTTTAATTAAGAATAATGGCAGTCGTAAGTATTTTAATAACTAAAAATATTGTAATATTTAAAATGTGTAAAATGTTATGTATAAAATTAGTAAACAATTTTGTAAAACTGATTGACGATTGTTAAAATTTTTCAACATCTTGTTTCCATGTTGCTTTAACCTCAAAAACTCTATTCATTTTTATTTAATGGTAGGATTTTATTTTATTTCTATTTAAACTTTAAAGTTTCGGTGTGGACAATTAAAATGTCTGGCTGAAACACAACTTACTTTGTTGTGGATTCCAGACAAATGCTGGTGCCAAGGGACCGAAGAAACAGCAAATCCGAGGAAAAGGCACAAAGAAATCAAAAAAGAAGGAATCCAAACGTTTTGTAATAGATTGCACTCATCCAGGTGAAGACAATATAATGGATGTTGCTAATTTTGTAAGTAGACTAAGAATATACAATAGTCTGTGTTAACTCTTAGATGTTCATAACAGCTTTTACTTTTACAGGAAAAGTACTTGTTAGATCGTATTAAAGTTAATGGAAAGACAGGTAATTTAGGCAACAACGTCAGTCTTGTAAGAGAGAAGAATACAAAGATCGTTGTCACTTCAGACATACCATTCTCTAAACGCTATTTGAAATACTTGACAAAGAAATACCTTAAGAAGAATAGTCTTCGTGATTGGGTACGAGTTGTTGCTAGTGGAAAAGAAAACTATGAACTTCGTTACTTCCAGATTAACAACCAAGAAGATGATGATGATGAGGATAACGAATAAGCTCATTAGATTGGTAATAACAAAATAAAAAAGAAAACTACTTTTTGTCTATTTTTTTTTTTACCATATATTCCTTAAAAGAGAAAGTTGGAGTTTAATTGATTGGCAATTGAGTTTTAGATGTTTTAAAGTTTTTGTTTGGGTTAAAATGCATTTTAATATGGCTAATTGGCAAAATTTTAAACCTAAATATTTATTAAAATGTGGAACCTACCAATGATAAAATTTTGCTTATCCTTATTAATTTGACTATTAAAAAGGTAGGTTCATCTGTTGTATTTAAAATTTGAATTCCACTACTGTTTAATTAATGTAGTAAATTAGCATTATACTCCTTGAATAATTAAAAATGCAAAATTTGGTTAAGAAACCGTCCTAATTGACACAAAATTTTCAGTTGTTTTTGAAATTAAATTGGCAATGGTAATGTAAAGATAATATAAAAAAGAATTAGAATATGCATAAATAATTAAAAAATATATAGTGTGTAGAATTCTGTGCCAAGAATGGCAGTAAGGGGTCTATTTGGAGGACAGTTTGTGTGTGATTACCTAGATTTAAAATATAAAGCAGTAAAACGTGCTTTGTTTTGAATACGAAAATAAGTTGATTGGAATATGAAAATTAATAGGAGTACCACATGAAAGGCCCTGTTTACACATTCAGTTTTTGTATTTAAACTACATTCTGTTTGATTTATTATCAAAAACACTACTTCCGTCCACTCTTATTTCTAAAATAATTCACACAGGACAAATAAATCCATATCTTAAAGTTATAGTTCAAAAAAGAAAAAAGCAATGCTTGTTTTAAGCTGCTAATTTTTTGTGATATAGTAAACTGTTATTTATTTTAATGTAATTCATTAAAAGAATATGTTTTTGATGCTATTATTTAAGAATATATAAGTTACCATGACATTTCGGCACTCTAATCAAACGTATACGATCTTTTTTTAATTTCCGATTTGTACAGGAGTACTTTTGAAGATTAAACAATTTTGTCTCATCAAAAATTCAATAGTTTTTAATGTTAGTTCTTAAACGATAATATATATTTATATATAACGATTTAATGAGTTACAATTTTGTTTATTTAACGAACAATACATTCGTAATATGCGTATAAAAAAAGAACTATTAGATAAGAAATAGTGCGGTGATAACTAATAAGTAAAAATAAGTTTTAAATACTAATTCATTTTTTTTCTTCAATTCCAGATGATCAAGTGTCGGTAACGTTTCGTATTAATGTGGTAGTAATAGTCGAAATTACATTATTCGCGATTTTAAAACCGCACGAAAGTAGTATACAGTTTTTTAATTTTCGGTTCGGTTACGGGAGTGTTCGGAAAACAATTGTGAGATACTCTGGACTTTTAAACATTTGCAGTCTCAACAAAACATGGAAAGAACCCACCACTATCATATGTAAGTTGCATTAGCATTTTAATTCTAAATACTTTTTGTTCTGCTGTTATAAGTTGATGCCAATAGCAACACGAAACACGAAGTTTTCTTGCTTCATATGTAAACGAATGTACACACCTAACAAGCGGTATATTAGGGAAAGTATTAAGGTCTTCTAATAATTTATACATAAAAAGCATGAGAACGATAATGTATTTTATTAGTAGAAAATGGAAGCATTCTTCTTGTTTTTGACATGAAAAACTTTCGTTAAGAGACATTTCTACAGTTTAGGCCAACATATTTAATGTTTCATTTTTTACTTGTTTATCTAGTACGTATTTTAGTGAATTAACACATGAAAGAAATAAGTAACTAAGTATTAGGAATTAACTTTAAATTCGTCTATAAGAACTCCTGGTCCACCCAAATCAGTAAGTTGTACACTGAAACCTTCCGTTTCTAATTTTTCCATTAAAGCTTTAATTTTATCATCGGGATGGTAATGATTCACTAAAGCAATAGCGAATCCTCCGCCTCCAGCACCAGTAAGTTTCCCATGTAGTCCATTCTCTTTTAAAATTGAACAAATTCTATCCAATTTCGGGTGTGAAACTCCTATAGCAGCAAGAAGGTTCTGGTTCATGTCTGTTAATTTCTGAAAAAAAAAAAAATAAATAAAACAATAGTACAATCATTATCACTTATCAGACATATTCATATTTCACGCCCCAGCTATGGCCGCCGCTGCCGCCGCAGCATCAGCAGCAGCAGCAGCAGCAGCCATTTTCCCTCCCACGACGACATCTTGTTTTTCAAGATCAACGAGCGCTCGCGTTCTCTCATTTGTCGAACNCTTTTCAAAATCTATGTTGTGTCCTTTGGATTATATTAAAGCATAGAGTTGTTTGAACACAAGAAGAGATACGTTCCTTTTGGAATGTCATTAGATGATTATTTTTATTATCAACTATTTTAGTGTCATCTCCAATTGTATTCAACTGTTAGTCCAAGATTTAGAGAATGCTTGTGAACCAGCTTTAACAAACTCCTATAGCAGCAAGAAGGTTCTGGTTCATGTCTGTTAATTTCTGAAAAAAAAAAAAATAAAGCTAGAGGTATAGATATTTTACAGACAAAACTTGTAGGATCAGTAATAGTCTTAATCATACATACTCCAGGAGTAGGCAGGTAGTAGATAAGATGAGTGAAATGTGGTAAAGCCGATCGGTTTAACTTATTTAAAAGATATTAGGGAAGGTAAATGGTAAAAAAAAGCGTTTTTGTCTTGTAGACAAAAAGGATATAACCCAAATAGCTGATAGTAAAACCTGAAACTAAAATTATTGAAAATGTCTCTAAAATTAATGTGCAAGTACCATCGATAACGGTACCCGTTTAAATTTGAATCGGTTCAGCTAGCTTGAAAATAATTACTTAAGAGCTTAGACCTGACATTTTACATAAAGACAGTTAATTGGGTAAGGGTGAACTTTCCTTGAAGCTAAGTCTCATAATTTTTGTTATATTTTGTCCAAATGTATGGTAATATAAAAATCTAATTTGCAAGTAAAAAATTGAATCTGAGAATGAAATATATTTCTTTTACTCACAAATCATACAATTTCTCCTTTTTTTAAGGGGACAACTAAGTGTCACTAGCAATAATTTATATATAAAAAAAAATTGAGATCTATAGCTACGATGGCATACACATAAAAGCTGTAATTTCTAAAATTTGTGACGAACCTCTAGACGCTTAAAAAGCGAGACCATTTCTGAATCGCAATTTTCATGTTCCACAACGGTTTTAAGTTGACTAAGGCGAATGATTGTTTCTAAGGCACTTTCAGCTACAGCATTCATTGCATCTAAAATCGAATCAAAAACAGTTGGAAATTCTTTTTTCGTTTCCTGTGCTACGGCTATCATGCTTTTCGTGTTTCTTGTTACCATACTGTTAATCAGTAGCATACGAAACTTTGTAGGTAATTCAATTACTCTTGGTTGTGATCCTTTCCGAAATTCAACCATTGATCCAAAAGTACAAATTGTATTATCAATGCCTGCAAAAAACAAAATTCATTTATTTAAACATGAAGAGGTGTAACAGAAACACTTCAAAATGTACATAAAATTTACTCAGATTCAATTAAAAAATTACCTGATGCAGGACCATGAATAATTTTTTCAGCATTATAAGCCCATTTAGATATCAGTTGAAGATCATCAGTGTCAAATTTAATTGAATTTGTAACTTCAGAATTTCTATGTTTAGTTTGCCCATTTTTAATCTGATTTTTTCCAAAATTTGCTTTAAATCTTATATACTGAATGAAGGCCGCAGAAAGAGTAACTAAGTAGGAAGCTGAACTGCCAGTTCCAGCATTTATAGTGAGATCTGTCTCCAAATTAATATTTATTGGTCGAAGTTTGATATCAACTGATCCCAAAGTACCAGCAAATAGATAAAATAAAGATACAAGAGCAATATTTTGATAGGGATTGAGTGGCTTGGAATATCTGGTAACAAAATCTTCTGTGATTTGTAAAATTTCTTCATGATTAATTAATTGTGGATTTTCCAAGCTATAATTCGGATTATTTTTTATTATAGACCGACATTTTGCTAAAAGATCTTGTTGAATAATCTGAAATAAAAACTTAAAATATAGGTCTTGAATTTTTTATAATGGAGCAAATCTCGCAAATTTAAATACATTCTTTTAGTTGCTACATTCCAATTAGTGTACTTATCATAATCGTTTTAATCACCAATAATCATTTAAAAATTACCTTTACGTCATATGATTGAATCAAATTAAGATCTTTTAGCTGAATAGTCAGCATGTTAAGTTCAATATCACTTTTTAGTTCAGAAAGAGAAAGTTTTGTGCGTAATCCAAGACTTGCAGCAATGGCAAGTTTTCCAAACACAACAGAATGCTCTCCATGTAGAATAACTTTACCAGGTGCTGATACTTTTATAAGCAATTCTAAAATTATTTAAAGATTAACAAAGTATTTATATATTACTTAAACTTCAGCATAAATTAAAGTGAAATTATTTTACCAGAGTGTAGTTTTTCAGATGATTGCTGGAAATTGTTTTCTACCATTTTACTTCTTCTTTTCTTCTTCCCACTGTTCTGGTGTGTATGTTTTTTGAGAGAATGCGTGAATGGATTTTAATTCTTCTTGTAACACAGAATTTACTAGCCTGTTGTAATTATGAACTTCATTAATAGATATATATCACGGAAAATTTTACACAAACTTTAATAAAAAAAATTGAAAACAAATTACCTGTGTCTTTGGAGCAAAGGTTTACCTTCAAACTTGTCTGACACTATTGTACATGAGAATTTTCCGCCACATCCATCAGACTCATCAATTACCTCCTAAGTATTTATAGAAACGTGTGTATTATTATTATTATTTAAAAAAAGAACTCGCTATTTAAATAACAAAAGTGTTTTACAGTTTTAGAACCATAACAATAATACATAAAATAAAATTTATGCAACTATTACATTACAACTAATTGAATTGTAAAACAGTTTCGCACAAATAGTAATTTGAAAAAAAATATTCATCCATGCTTATCAGTTATCAGTTCAAGTTGTTGAGACTTATTGCGAAAAAAGTAGATAAACAACTAAAAATTAACACTACCAGTACAAGTAAATGATTTCATTGAAGAAAAAAAAAGTTATACATACCACATATGTTGCCTGCAGCTCTTTGATTAACTTATCTTTAATATATTTTTCTGTATAAGACATACTAACGGTATTTTAAAAATTGTTGTAAATTAATTAGTTCTTAACCTCAAATGAACGAACTTGATTTATTCACAATTTATCGGTTTTTACTGGGAGCCGGCTTAAAAATTACACCACAATTTACTTCAGCAAATAAACATGACACTAAACAAATTAGATCGACCATTTATTTTAAATTGAGGTAAAATGATAACAATGTTACATGAGGAAACGTACTAAATGCACACCGGGCAGAAATTTTACCACTTAATTTACATTTATTACACGCCTTCCGAAATAAAAAAAAAATTGTTGGTTTTATGATCAAAACTGTTAAATTCGAGGAAATGTTTCTTGTTTTATACAAATATTCTAATTTTTGAGATTAAAACATAACATTAAAGTTCAGATATGGTATATTTAGATTATTTATCTCTATGATTCATCTATGGGTAAAATCTATGGACTTAAATCATGTTATGGTCATGTTAAAATAGGCAACCCAATTTACATTAAAACAAGGTAGAAAAGCTAAAACTAAGAAAATGAGAAATTTATCCTATGAATATTTTTAGATAAACGGCGCAGACAGGAGTCATTAAAATATTTACGATTCAAAAGTAGTGTATTTAAAAATACATAACAAATACTGCATTGTTCTTTGATTAAAATGCAAACCTTCAATCATATCATTTATTATAAAAATTATTCAATTATTTTTATATAAACCAACGTGTCATTAATTTCAAAATAAATACATTCACTTCTAAAGTTTTACCTAGGTTTCTCCTATTGTTATTTATTGTTAGAGAAATTTCACCTTCAATATGCAAAAATGTTATAAACATTAACATTAAAGACAATTCATAATTTATCAATCATATTTAACAAAGCTGTTCCTACGTTATTAGTCCCACTACAAAAGGACCACTTCAAAAAACAAAAAAGAAAATTCGAAAATATATTTTCTCCAAAGGTAAATTATTCCTGTTTAATATGTTTCGGAGTTTTCAAATTTTTTGTACAATTTTCGTATAAATTATTTAAATCGAACGCAGCTTTGATATTTTCAGGGGAAAGTATAAATTTGACAACTTTCCCTTTTGAATCAACAACAGGTCGTCTTATAGTCTCTTTTCCTTCTACAAAAAGAATTACCGTTGGTAATTGCTGGCTCAAACTGCTGTCGTTTATTTTATATTTTGCGGCCGCTTCTGGATAACGACCAACGTCGACTTTTCCGAAACCCAGATTTTCTAAGCAATATTCATTGCTCAGTTTCGCAAATGTCGGTGCAAAACTGACGCAATTTGGGTTCCACATGGTGTAGAACGTGACCAGCCATACTTTCTTTTTATCGCGATTTAATTCGTCTTCTAATCCTTTTGCGTCACGAAAGTATATCACTTTGTCTGGACCAGAATATGTAGGTTCAGGAAGACATAGTGCTGATACTGAAATTAAATAAAATTGCCTAGTAGTATATAGTTATCAAAATATTGAAGCATATAAAATTTATCAAAAGAGTTCCTAATGTCTAAAATGAATTATATTTCGTTAATAACAACTTGTTGCAAACTTATTTTCTACACAGCACTATAACCAACACTAAAAAAGTTCATTATTTATTAATCGGTATTGTTGGGACAGTAAATAATTAGCCTTACATATAAATAATATGCCATAAATTGTTCCATAAATGTAATCTGCATAGAACCAAAGAACCAAATTGGCTACTTTTGTGTAAATAAAACTGGATGAAATGTAATTGATCATAGTTACATTTCCACTTTTTCTTGTCCTTATCATTACCACAATCAATAGAAAGAACAATAATTCTGTTTCACGCTAAAAATAGCTATTCATAGTAAAGCAATTAATTTTCTTTTGTTTTTAATCTTACCCCATCAAGCTCACAATCATTAGTTGAGAAAATATAATTGCACACTCCAGGTAATTTCTTTAAAATTATGTAAGAAATGCTGAGAATTATGTTTACAATATAATATGGCTTTAACAGCTGCTTTAAATCGTTCTTTAGGTACATTTTGCTGAAAAGGTTTAAGATAGGTATTCTGATTGAATTAGATAAATTAGTTTATAACATGTTCAAACCGCAGTATATCTTCATCATATAACTTGATATAATCAATAAAAAACAATTTTTAGTACAAGTGTCACATTTAAATAATCTACCGCAATAGTTTGAATGTACCATCTTGCGTTATTGCCAATACTTATGATTCTTATAGCGTTTTCTAATCTAGAGTACCTAATTATAATTTTATTTTAAATTTAATTAACCTGTTAGGATATATTAATTAAATAATGCTTAAGTTATTTAATCAATTAATAAATTTTACATTATTTTTCATTCTAAAATTTAATTGCTACCACATTACGACTGCACCTTGTATAATATACATATACATATCGGTGAGCAAATTACAATATACAATATACAATACATCTTCGGTGCAGTTAAACTAAAAAGTAGTTTAGTTCAAGTGTCAGTTGCAGACAGTTTTATGTTTATGTCAGTTTTGGAGTAGAGGTTATAGTGGTTAATTAGTGTCAAACAAAAGTTACAAATAATTGTTAAAGTGCTAATTAAGAGAGTGAAACTATGGATTCAATAGAAGACGATGAAATTTTTGATGATAATACTCAAGAATTAATTATAAGCTTTCCACTTGAAGTGCAAAAAGCTATTGAGCAGGTACATAACCTATAACAATAATATTTTATGTATTTAATATATCTTTTCTGGAAGGTTTTACCCAGCACTGATCCATTGGATCAGCCTGACTTCAATACTATCGATTATATAAATTCTCTCTTTCCTACTGAACAATCTTTATCAAATATTGATGAAGTTGTTGCAAAAATGCAAACGAAAATTGAAACTATTGATGATGAGATTAGTACTGTTGTAAGGGACCAAACGACTGCTAGTCAGGACGGTCGTCAGGCATTAGATGAAGCACAGAAAGTGATAAAACAACTCTTTATTCAAATAAAGGATATTAAAGAACGTGCAGAAAAATCAGAAGAGATGGTAGGTGAAATAACAAGAGATATAAAACAATTAGATTGTGCTAAACGCAATTTGACTCTTGCCATTACCACATTAAATCATTTGCATATGCTTGTTGGAGGTGTTGACACATTAAAAACATTAACACAAAAACGTCTGTATGGGGAAATTGCATTGCCATTACAGGCAATTAGTGAAGTTATGACTCATTTTGAAAATTACTCTGACATTCCACAAATTAAAAAATTAAGTGATGAAGTTAAAGCAATTCATGTAGAGTTAGCTGAACAAATAACACACGACTTCAAGGAGGCATTCTCAGGCACAAATACAAAGAGTTTTATTCCTAATAAGCAATTAGCAGCAGCTTGTTTGGTGGTATCCATTTTAGACCCCAAGGTTAAGAAAGATCTACTAAAATGGTTTGTCAATTTGCAACTTCAGGAATATAGGCATTTATTCCAAGAAACTGAAGACACTGCATGGTTAGATAAGATTGATAAAAGATATGCATGGTTGAAGAAACACCTTTTGGAATTTGAAGACAAATTAGGTACAATGTTTCCACAGAATTGGGAAGTATCAGAGAGAATTGCTGTTCAATTTTGTCATGATACCCGTGAAGAACTTGGAAAAATATTAGCTAAGCGTAAACATGAAGTTGATGTAAAATTGTTACTATATGCCATTCAAAAGACAAGTAATTTTGAAAATCTTCTTTCAAGGAGATTCACAGGAATTACAATTCCCGAAAATGACCTTAATAAAAATAATCCCCATCAGAATCTATCAGACTTTCCATTTGCTGGTTTGATAGGTACATGTTTTATTCCTTATCTATATATTTATGTTGAAAGTGTTGATCGTAACTTATCTGATTTATTGGAACGCTTTGTACAAGATGAAAAGCAGCTAGTCATTACAGAAAGTAATGAAAATCAGGCAAGCGTTCTTCCAAGTTGTGCTGATTTATTTCTGTTTTATAAGAAGAGTATGATTCAGTGTAATCAGCTTAGTAAAGGTCAAGCTATGTTGGACTTGACAAAGACATTTCAAAAATTTTTGAGAGAATATGCCACCAAAGTTTTGCAAAACAATCTTCCAAAAGTCGAAACACAATCTCTAGGAAGTAGTGTGCAATCTTTAACACGAGATTTGCAGAAAATGTCTACTTCAGGATTGATACAAAATTTTTCGTCGCTTTTAAAAGAAGGCGAAGTTATTAGGTTTAGTAATGACGAGGTGAAAAAGATCTGTTGTATTCTAACCACAGCGGAGTATTGCTTGGAAACTACACAACAATTGGAGGAGAAATTAAAGGAAAAGACTGAGCCAGGTTTAGCAGAGCAAATCAATTTAAATCAAGAACAGGATGCATTTCATAAGTAAGTTTTGTAAGGATAGAAAACTTGAAGATATACATGATTAAAAGTCAAATATGTAGAGTGCTTTTCAAAATCTATGTTGTGTCCTTTGGATTATATTAAAGCATAGAGTTGTTTGAACACAAGAAGAGATACGTTCCTTTTGGAATGTCATTAGATGATTATTTTTATTATCAACTATTTTAGTGTCATCTCCAATTGTATTCAACTGTTAGTCCAAGATTTAGAGAATGCTTGTGAACCAGCTTTAACGGCAATGAGTAAGGTAATTACTGTTAGATGTAAAATAATTAAATGGTTACTAAAGATATATACATATTTTCTAATTTAATATTAGATTCCATGGCAGAACATTGACAGTGTGGGAGATCAAAGTCCTTTCATAACAGATATGACGAGTCACTTTAGAATGACTGTTCCTACTATTCGTGATAGTCTCACTCATTCGCGCAAGTATTTCACGCAGTTTTGCATAAAGTTTGCAAGTTCTTTTATCCCCAAGTTCATCAATTGTATTTACAAGTGCAAGCCTATCAACACAGAGGGCGCTGAACAGCTCCTTTTGGATACACACATGCTTAAGACAGTTCTTTTGAATCTTCCCTTAATTTCCTCTCAAATTAACCGTCAAGCCCCCGCAGCTTATACCAAAGTCGTAACAAAAGGAATAACAAAAGCTGAAATGATCTTAAAAGTTGTAATGACGCCAACAGAACCAGCCAAATCTTTTATAGAACAATATATGAAATTGTTGCCGGAGTGTCAATTGTCTGAATTTACTAAAATTTTGGAAATGAAGAGCATCAAAAAACAAGAACAAGCAACCTTATTGGAGATGTTTAAAATGGCTAAACCTTCTTCTGAAAGAAAGCACCCAGATGAACACTTCTGTGATGAAGAATCTGGGAGAATACGAAAACTCGAAAGGCTTATAAAAAAGGGCCTGCCAAAGTAATTATATAGTCAGTTAGTTTATTGTAAATCTCATAAAGTATTTTTATTAGTTATTTATATGTCTGTGATTACACTAAATATTTTTATCGATTTTTCGTTTGAAAATACATATGCATTGAAATTAAATTATATAAGTACATGATATTTTCAAAAATAAATTAAAAATACGCTTATATTCCCTGTATGGTGATCCTTTGTCTTTTTATTTTTCCCAAAAAAAAAACAATCATAAATATAAATAAAAACTAATGTTTTTACTGAAATTATGAAATTTATTTACAAAAATTGACTTTAATATTGATATTATACAGAAATACCGCTCAAGGCGTAAATTTTAAATAGGAGGCCACATTAAACTAACTTCTCCATAAGCTGATTGCGGTAGCCATCTTAAATATTCTGTGAGTAAAACTGAAAATGAATTTTAATATCAAAATAGGTACATATATTTTCTTACTAAAAATCCATTAGTCATAAGACGAAATATATATTAGATGTACTTACACTTAGGATTTTCTTTCCATAATTCTTCCAATTTTGCCCTAGAACGAGTGTGTTTAAAAGCTAACATTTTTAAAATACCATCTGTTCTAGGTTGTAATTTTGCCCAAGTCTTCACCATCATACTCGGTGAACTTAAAAGAACGCTTTTATATTTTTCTAATTTGTTGAACACTTTTCCTTCCAAAAGGAATTTGGAAAACCATTTATATGCATCTAGAGTTTCAGGATATTCAACTTTTACATTTGAAATTGGCCAGTTTTGTGAACCAAAAGTACCGGTTACATAGCAAAAGATTTTGTCTGAATTCACATCGTAACTAAAAGAAATTCAGTTATTTTAAGAAAATGCGTATTACTGTCCAAAAGTTAAATACGATTTATGCTTTTCGAAAAATTTGTTCGAAACTTACAATGGTTCCGGTTCCGTTAATGGTCGATCAAGATTGCAGAGATTAGAAACATAGATAGGTAACCATTCGGGTTCGATGGCAGTCACGCCCCTCATGTACATCTTATTCGTTTCGTATATTTCTTGGAAAATTACGTATTCGGGCAAATTTTTTCTTAAAACCGAACCTTGATGTAGATATACAGGCTCTTCCATATTATTTGCGTGGTATGCATATTTATATTTCCTCCTTTCTTCACCGTCCTGTTAGAAATTTTTTTTGTTTTTCAATTTTAATAAGATGTATTTAAGGATACCTTTAGTTCATCCGGTGTTATTTTTTTGGCCACTTGATCTCCCATTCCAGAGAGCATAATTTGTCTCAGAAGTTTTGCTTGTAAGTCTGTGGGAGGATTAAGCTTGGGATCAACGACTATGTCAATTTCTGGCATATTTGTCTTAATTTCATTCGTTAGTTGAATTCTCAGTTTCCTTATTTCTACAACAGCCTTGTATCGCAGACCATTTTCAATGCAAAATTTCTCTAGTTTTCCCTCTGAATTAGCATATTCCGCAGCACCCACAGCTTTTAGCAGAACCATCGCGTCTCCCAAAAGTAGAAAATTCCCAGTTCCAGCCCATTGACGACGCAATGAAATCCATTTTTGTCTCACATTTTTAACTTCTTCTGAATCAGTTTGTCCAATAGGATTTTCTAAAAGAACTTCTTGAACAGAGAGAGCAGCTACTAGGCAAATAGTATAGGGAAGTAGCTCATATTGATGACTTAGAGCAAGCATCTTTCCGTAACGGGGAAGTACTGGAAATTTCGAAATGGCACGACCTTTGTCGAAAAAAAGATTAATAGTATCTAGGCATTATTATTATTATGTTATCTTTATTTTCTTACCTAAAGGTGTTACTCTGTTGTCTTTAATAGCTCCCAAAGTGGTCAGTCGATTTTCTGACATTTTTAACTGTAACATATCGGGCGCCGTGGGAAAGGGAAAGTTTGCAACTTTATCGATATTCATGCATTTCATCTGTAAATAAAGATCATCGACCGGTTTTTGTTGAATCTCAGGGGTGTCATAATCTTGAAAAATGTCATTAAAGACTGCACTGGAGTACAATCGATAGCAATGTCCAGGTCCCATTCTGCCTGCTCTTCCAGTTCGTTGACTTGCAGACGCTTTACTTGTCCACGTCACTATGTAACTTGTAACTCCTAAAAACGTTACAGTGCTTCTTATTTTGTTAAGCATATAAGTTGTTTTAGCATTTATATTGAATAATGCAGTGTAAACAAATTTTCAGTAATTTTTATTTTAAATTATATCATTTACAGGTAAAAACATAATTATAGTACTCCCATTCAGATTTTTATATTTAACGCTGAATGATGGGAATAATAAACTTAATGTGGTCACATTATCAGAAATATGTAAGCAATTACCTGTAATTTTATCGTACAATTTCATTTTTGTTTTTCCAGTATCAACGACATACTTGATATTTGGTATAGTTAAACTTGTTTCTGCCACGTTTGTGCTAACTATGCACAATCTAGAGCCAGGGGGAGGTGGCTGAAATACCTTTGCTTGCTTATGCGAAGGTAACATGGAATATAAGGGTAAAACCCACAATGGTTGTGAGTTATTAGATACAACTGTCATTTCAGTTTCAAATTCTTCATCTGAATTTAATTCCTCATTTTCAGAGTCTTCGTTATCTCCTGGTAAACTATAATCATCTAAATTAATTTCTGGAATTATTTTCGTTTTCTTTTTCCGTAAGCGTTTTTGTAAATTAATGTTTTCTTCGTCCCTGTTATCATCGTTGATTTCTTTCTCGTTTTGAGTTTCAAATTTGTATTTATTTCTGAAGGGAAAGGCATTCCTTAATTTTTTTACTAACATATTTACTTCTTGCTGTCCAGTCACAAATACTAAGATCCCTCCTTCAGAATTTTCTTTATGAATTTTTGAAGTCTTAATAAAAGCCTCTTGTAGGTAATTTTCATTCGTGCGTTTGTTAAAATGAACGGTAACCGGAAATTGCCGGGCATCAATGTTAATCAGAGGTGGGGTGACTTTGAAAAGACGCACGTTCTCTGTAAAATCCTGCACTCGCAACGTAGCGGACATGATAATTAATTTTAGAGGAATTCCTTTTTTGTTTCGTAGAGGTACTATTCGAGATAATAAACCTATCAATATATCAGTGTAAACAGATCTTTCATGCGCCTCATCCAGTATAACAACTGAATATTTAGTCAGTAAAAAATCTGTTTGGACCTCTTTTAAAAGTACACCATCGGTCATAAATTTAATTTTCGTTTGGTCAGTAACGGTACCTTCAAAACGAATTAAATAAGAGATTTCCTTGGAGGTCATACTCATTTCTTGGGCTACACGTTTAGACATTGATATTGCAGCTACTCGTCTCGGTTCTGTTACCGCAATCATTTTTTCCAATGCATAACCAGCCTCATATAGAAATTGCGGAACTTGAGTGGTTTTACCACTTCCTAAAAAAGAAATTGAAAATGTAAGCTTAAATTTAAATGAAACATTGCCCTAACAGTATTCTTTTTTCATATGCCAATTATTGTAAAATAAAACAGAAAGGTTGTGAATTTTAATGTTAACATNAGCTGATTGCGGTAGCCATCTTAAATATTCTGTGAGTAAAACTGAAAATGAATTTTAATATCAAAATAGGTACATATATTTTCTTACTAAAAATCCATTAGTCATAAGACGAAATATATATTAGATGTACTTACACTTAGGATTTTCTTTCCATAATTCTTCCAATTTTGCCCTAGAACGAGTGTGTTTAAAAGCTAACATTTTTAAAATACCATCTGTTCTAGGTTGTAATTTTGCCCAAGTCTTCACCATCATACTCGGTGAACTTAAAAGAACGCTTTTATATTTTTCTAATTTGTTGAACACTTTTCCTTCCAAAAGGAATTTGGAAAACCATTTATATGCATCTAGAGTTTCAGGATATTCAACTTTTACATTTGAAATTGGCCAGTTTTGTGAACCAAAAGTACCGGTTACATAGCAAAAGATTTTGTCTGAATTCACATCGTAACTAAAAGAAATTCAGTTATTTTAAGAAAATGCGTATTACTGTCCAAAAGTTAAATACGATTTATGCTTTTCGAAAAATTTGTTCGAAACTTACAATGGTTCCGGTTCCGTTAATGGTCGATCAAGATTGCAGAGATTAGAAACATAGATAGGTAACCATTCGGGTTCGATGGCAGTCACGCCCCTCATGTACATCTTATTCGTTTCGTATATTTCTTGGAAAATTACGTATTCGGGCAAATTTTTTCTTAAAACCGAACCTTGATGTAGATATACAGGCTCTTCCATATTATTTGCGTGGTATGCATATTTATATTTCCTCCTTTCTTCACCGTCCTGTTAGAAATTTTTTTTGTTTTTCAATTTTAATAAGATGTATTTAAGGATACCTTTAGTTCATCCGGTGTTATTTTTTTGGCCACTTGATCTCCCATTCCAGAGAGCATAATTTGTCTCAGAAGTTTTGCTTGTAAGTCTGTGGGAGGATTAAGCTTGGGATCAACGACTATGTCAATTTCTGGCATATTTGTCTTAATTTCATTCGTTAGTTGAATTCTCAGTTTCCTTATTTCTACAACAGCCTTGTATCGCAGACCATTTTCAATGCAAAATTTCTCTAGTTTTCCCTCTGAATTAGCATATTCCGCAGCACCCACAGCTTTTAGCAGAACCATCGCGTCTCCCAAAAGTAGAAAATTCCCAGTTCCAGCCCATTGACGACGCAATGAAATCCATTTTTGTCTCACATTTTTAACTTCTTCTGAATCAGTTTGTCCAATAGGATTTTCTAAAAGAACTTCTTGAACAGAGAGAGCAGCTACTAGGCAAATAGTATAGGGAAGTAGCTCATATTGATGACTTAGAGCAAGCATCTTTCCGTAACGGGGAAGTACTGGAAATTTCGAAATGGCACGACCTTTGTCGAAAAAAAGATTAATAGTATCTAGGCATTATTATTATTATGTTATCTTTATTTTCTTACCTAAAGGTGTTACTCTGTTGTCTTTAATAGCTCCCAAAGTGGTCAGTCGATTTTCTGACATTTTTAACTGTAACATATCGGGCGCCGTGGGAAAGGGAAAGTTTGCAACTTTATCGATATTCATGCATTTCATCTGTAAATAAAGATCATCGACCGGTTTTTGTTGAATCTCAGGGGTGTCATAATCTTGAAAAATGTCATTAAAGACTGCACTGGAGTACAATCGATAGCAATGTCCAGGTCCCATTCTGCCTGCTCTTCCAGTTCGTTGACTTGCAGACGCTTTACTTGTCCACGTCACTATGTAACTTGTAACTCCTAAAAACGTTACAGTGCTTCTTATTTTGTTAAGCATATAAGTTGTTTTAGCATTTATATTGAATAATGCAGTGTAAACAAATTTTCAGTAATTTTTATTTTAAATTATATCATTTACAGGTAAAAACATAATTATAGTACTCCCATTCAGATTTTTATATTTAACGCTGAATGATGGGAATAATAAACTTAATGTGGTCACATTATCAGAAATATGTAAGCAATTACCTGTAATTTTATCGTACAATTTCATTTTTGTTTTTCCAGTATCAACGACATACTTGATATTTGGTATAGTTAAACTTGTTTCTGCCACGTTTGTGCTAACTATGCACAATCTAGAGCCAGGGGGAGGTGGCTGAAATACCTTTGCTTGCTTATGCGAAGGTAACATGGAATATAAGGGTAAAACCCACAATGGTTGTGAGTTATTAGATACAACTGTCATTTCAGTTTCAAATTCTTCATCTGAATTTAATTCCTCATTTTCAGAGTCTTCGTTATCTCCTGGTAAACTATAATCATCTAAATTAATTTCTGGAATTATTTTCGTTTTCTTTTTCCGTAAGCGTTTTTGTAAATTAATGTTTTCTTCGTCCCTGTTATCATCGTTGATTTCTTTCTCGTTTTGAGTTTCAAATTTGTATTTATTTCTGAAGGGAAAGGCATTCCTTAATTTTTTTACTAACATATTTACTTCTTGCTGTCCAGTCACAAATACTAAGATCCCTCCTTCAGAATTTTCTTTATGAATTTTTGAAGTCTTAATAAAAGCCTCTTGTAGGTAATTTTCATTCGTGCGTTTGTTAAAATGAACGGTAACCGGAAATTGCCGGGCATCAATGTTAATCAGAGGTGGGGTGACTTTGAAAAGACGCACGTTCTCTGTAAAATCCTGCACTCGCAACGTAGCGGACATGATAATTAATTTTAGAGGAATTCCTTTTTTGTTTCGTAGAGGTACTATTCGAGATAATAAACCTATCAATATATCAGTGTAAACAGATCTTTCATGCGCCTCATCCAGTATAACAACTGAATATTTAGTCAGTAAAAAATCTGTTTGGACCTCTTTTAAAAGTACACCATCGGTCATAAATTTAATTTTCGTTTGGTCAGTAACGGTACCTTCAAAACGAATTAAATAAGAGATTTCCTTGGAGGTCATACTCATTTCTTGGGCTACACGTTTAGACATTGATATTGCAGCTACTCGTCTCGGTTCTGTTACCGCAATCATTTTTTCCAATGCATAACCAGCCTCATATAGAAATTGCGGAACTTGAGTGGTTTTACCACTTCCTAAAAAAGAAATTGAAAATGTAAGCTTAAATTTAAATGAAACATTGCCCTAACAGTATTCTTTTTTCATATGCCAATTATTGTAAAATAAAACAGAAAGGTTGTGAATTTTAATGTTAACATACACTTCGGGAATAAATTTATTAACTAATTATCACATATTAGATAAAAAGTGTACCTGTTTCACCAGCTAAAATAATAATTGAATTTTCATTTATAATTTCCATAATTTGTTGTTCTTCTGCTAAAATTGGCAATTTCAGCCTGGCTTTTTGAATTTTAGAATCTCTTTTAATACCTACAAATATTGCAGGTCTCCTTTCCAAATGATTCAGATTATATCTTTCTTTATTATTATTTTTCTTATCTTCTTTATTTGTATTGCCATCTCCATTACTTCTATTTTGTTTATCAATTTTAGTTTCTTTTCCCTTTTCTTTATTTTCCAGATTACATTCTTCAGTAATTTTAGTTTCTTTTATCTTCCCTTCTTTATTTTTCTGTAGGCTTTGCTGTTGTTGTTTATCTTTATCCAAATTTTTATCTTCATTTTTAGTACTGTCAATATTATTTTCATTTGCATTTAAACTTTCTTTGTCTTTGACTTCATTATTTTCAGTATGTAGATCTGATTCAGAATCCGAAGATGAATCAAAGCCAACAACATTGGGATCATTAACTTTCTTATCTGCTTTTTGCAATAATATTCTTTTTCTTTTAGCTCCTTTTATACTGTTTATAATAACTTTATTCTTGCCTGATGTATCTCCAATATCTTCTAAATTGAAGTCAAAATCTTCAAAATTAACATTTTGCTGTTCAGAGAAATGTCGCTTGAGACCCTTTGTTTGCACTGATGAAATTGAAGTTAATTTTTCTAATTCCTGAGGTGATGCCTGAACTTTAGCTAGTTCCTCTAGCAGTCCTGCCCTCTGAAAACATAAACCTTCTAAAACTCATTAAATTATATGTTAGATTTACAGTACTTTAATCTTTTTATTTTTCCTTTCAATAATCTTTTCAAATCGTTTTCTTTGTTTCTTTGAAAGTATACGAGTTGGTTCCGATTTTGTATGTTTGATTTTTGTTTTTCGTTTTTTCGAAGGTAATGCAAGTACATTAGAATCGTCGTAGGTCCCTTCTACATTTAAATCAAGTTGAATCTAAAAAAATAAGAAATCGAGGCATAAATTGAAAATTGACAATTTTGTTACCTTCCGAGTATCAGAATTATCAACAACAGTTTTCACTGGCTGCCTTGCCTTCCAGTTATATCGTTTCTTAATCATTTTAAAAATTTCAAATCTTTGTAGGTTACATGTTATGCAGGTTATAACCCATTGTTGGGGTTATGTTCTAGTATGTAATCATAGATAATTGAACGTCTTTTATTTTAATTGCATAAGGTGTATTCAATTCAACTTAGATTTAGATCACTCTTCCTACACAAACATTTAGTAGTTTGCTTTTTTGAAATATACTTATTTAGTTAGAGAAAACACATGAATAAATATGAGATAACATTAATAAATAATCATACTAATAAAATACTTAGTAAAAACGAATTTATTTAAATTAGGAATAAGTATTTGTTAAACATATTTTGTACAGTTCTGTAGAATAAATTACGAAATTATATTAATCTGATTCTGCATCACTATTAGCTACTAGTATTTTTCCATAATCAAAGTTTTCTTCACGAAAAGTTGATTCATAACAACGCTCAAAAACTGTTTTTATACGTTTGCTTCTTTGAGATAGTTCAATAATATCATCATCTTCAACATCCATATTCAATTTTCGGTTGTCTATATCATTGTCCTTTTGTATATGACCTCTTCCTAATTGATTGTTAAATAAACTGTTGAGTGCTGGTTTTAATTTTGGTTTGCTTTGCTCATCTAAATTATTTATCTCATCATTCCAGTCTACATTTTCCAGAGCTATTCGGTCTTCAATTGTTAAATTGGCATCTGAATGTTTTTTTGTATTCATTACTTTCTTTTGAATAGAAGAAACAGTTGTGCTAATTGAGGACTGTGTCGAGCCATCAGAACTAACGGTTGCCATTACAATATGTACCTCAAATGTAGGATTTTTTATAATCAAAACAACAGGCCTATAAAAAATACATTTTTAAAAACATGTACAGGATTATTAAGCTTGTACAATTTTCAATTCGGAATTTCTCCAAACATTTAGTAGGCCACTAAACTTCTATACGATTTTATTATTGGAGATACAATTTTTAAACTGCATAAATAATAAAAATAAAATTACTTACTTTCCAGCAGTTTCAAAATTGAGAATTAGCTTCAAGTTGAAATGTTCTGCAAACTGCACAGCAGCTCGAAAGGGTTTCAGAGAACATGTTATATTTGTGGGCTGACCAATTTTAAATGATACAAAATCTATTGCATTTAATACGTACTGTGATCTAATGCACTTTAGTACATTTGTCTCATCTAATACAAAGAACTTAAAGATAATCTGAACCATACTAATGAAAGAAAAATATTACCTACATCATAATTTCTCATTACCACCTTGTGGTGCATGACTTCAAGACCCAAGTCGTCATTGTTTAACTGAAAATTCGATAAAACTTGTGAAAAACAGTGTCCTGTACCAGTAACTTGATTCATCGAATCGTTTGGATAATTCACTTGCCAAAATTCCATGTCTAACAAATGAACTTTGTGCAATACAGTAACATCAAATTTGTATTGTATTTTAAAGATGATTACAATACTTTCATATTGGAGTTCTACATGGCAAAATGCCAACTGAAAATATCAAATTAGATTGAATACCAATATTAGATTACCTACTTACATTTTTGTCTTTGTGCAAAGGCTTAAATATTGCTAGTATTGCTTTCATTTGTATTTTACGTGCCAATTTGGGATTTTCATCTGATTCAGAGTCAATGTCTGCAACTTCGAAACTTGTAAAAAATGTGTTAAAGAATTTGAAAGAACAAAATGCCGTTTTGTTAGCATTTATGGAGCGGAAAAGTAAACTCTCTTTTGTAACTTCTATATATAATTCATCTCCTATTTTAGACAATGTCTGCAGCGATTTAGTTAATACTGCCAAATAAAAATGTAATATATAAATATTATTGTGAATATTACAAATAACCTTACAAACTGTATACCTTTCAAATTGCCAGCTGGAATTGTGCAATTCATAGTATAAAAAATATTAATAAAAACAGTGTGGAAGTTTCATCAGTTAAAATTATAGAAAATATATGCCATTGTACGCTGTTATAAGGAAAAACATACTATCGAATTAAGTCAATTTAAATTGAATTTGTTAAACCGCCATATAATTAGCAATCCATAGATTGAAGAAAAATTCTCTCGTAATTATGTTTGACTGATAGCCAGTGTTGTAGTGGAAACAACTTTTTGTAAGAAATGAGACAAAAAATAAAACCTGTGAAAATACTTGAAGTTAGGAATACGTGTAATTATAATATGTTTTAACTTTTAACTAGTCAGAATGGCGTCGCCTACGGATGCACTTCCCATACGTTTTATGTCAGATACTATTTTCAATTACTATATTGAATGATGAAAGTTCAATTTTGTTGTTACGCCTATGTATTACACATTACTGACGTAATAAATCTCTGCGTTAGGTTCAGCATATATTGATATATCATTTATGATTATATGAGATTGATCAGTTTATTAATTACTACCACTGTACCTTAGATATAATATATAATACACTATAATCACAGTATGTATAAACTATAATCTCTTATCTATGATTACCACTCAGTCCAAATTTTTGACGTACCAGTGAAGGTTATAATACTATAGTAAATTTAAACAGTAGTTTAAAGATTACAAATTTTTATTAATAAATGGTAAGAATTTACTGTTATCATCGGAATTAAAATGGTAAAGATTTATGCAATTTTTGGATTGTGGGTTTTCACGAAAATATAGTTAGTTTTAGTTTTGGGTGATTTGCATATTCCTCATCGCTGTAGTAGTTTACCAGCGAAATTTAAAAAGCTGCTCGTTCCAGGGAGAATTCAACATATTTTATGTACAGGAAATCTATGCACTAAAGAATCATATGATTACTTAAAAACATTGGCAAGTGATGTTCATGTTGTAAGGGGTGACTTTGATGATGTAGGGTTAGTATATTTATATTCATATGGGTATGTAACCGTTTGATATTTTAGAATTTAAATTATCCTGAGCAAAAAGTTGTTACTGTGGGACAGTTTCGAATAGGATTGTCTCATGGTCATCAAGTAGTGCCATGGGGTGACCCAGAATCTTTAGCATTAATACAGAGGCAGCTTGATGTTGATATTCTTATTTCGGGGCATACTCATAGGTTTGAGGCTTATGAACATGAAAATAAATTTTACATTAACCCTGGAAGTGCTACAGGAGCTTACAATGCATTAGACATGTAAGAAATTTATCCTAAAATGCAATATGTAGGATATATCCCGCCCCAGTATGGTTCCTCATTTACTCACCAAAAATAAAAGCCTCAATAATGTTTTAAACAAGATCTGTACACATACAGAATTTATACAAATTCACATCTTTTAGTAATAATGAAATTGTAGACTGACCTATGTTGGGGTGGAACATTTAATATATAATCAATGAAGGTATATTAAATAGTTATTTTTAGTCAAATCACTCCGTCTTTTGTGCTAATGGATATACAAAATACAACTGTGGTGACTTACGTTTATCAGTTAGTTGGGGATGAAGTTAAGGTTGAGAGAATAGAATATAAGAAGAATTAATTATTTTGAAACTTTATTTTGAATCTGGTAATTCCATTATTTATACAATTATTCTATATAAAAAATAATGAGTTTACTGTAAGATGTAGGTAATTCTATGCATTATATCATTTATAATAATGAGATTTTATAAGGTATATATTTTAATTGTATAGTTTTTTTGACTAAGAATAAAGTAAAATTTATATTATTTCGTTGTATATGTATATACAAAAGTTGCGTCAATAACTCATCTACTACCTGAGTTTCAAATTTAATTTATATGAATGTATGCCGTAAAATTGATGAAATTTGGAAACTGGACAATTCTTATGTTACTCGTTCATTCTTATTCTTAAATTTTCGATAAAAATTCTCGACTTCCTCAGGAGAAGAAAGTAAGTATAGAGTAAGTTAAATAAACAAAGTAAGCTCAAAACCAAAATGTTCACTGGTTTTTAAATTAAATTTTAACATTTTTAATGAGAAATTATTAAGTATTAGGTTAACACTCAACGTTGTTACTATAATATATCAGACATTCAAAATTATAAACAATAAAAAATTAAAGTATTTGATGTTTTACAATTGAGAAAATGTTTTTATTCTTCCAATTTTAAATATTTCGCGCCAGTCTAGAATACTGCCAAGAGCGCTCCCTTGCGTCAATTTGGGTAACGTTCAGATAATCTCGTTCCCAGGTGCTCGTATGTGATTATTAAGATACAAATATGTCTCATATTATCTAATTATTGTGATAATTAGTTACAGTGGATACGCTTAAATTTTATCAAAGAATTTTTTTAAAACGGCATTTAAAACCAACGACAATTTAGCAAAAGAAACTAAATATAATTGTGTTACTATCTTCATTAACAAATCTCGTCGATGACGTATTTCCTTTCTCGCTCACCGGTCTGCTGCTGGTTCTACGTTTTATGAGTTTTAGTCGGTTTTAGTAGTGATATGTTATGTGCATTTTTGATAGAAAATTTTAAAAAATACAGGTACACACAAAATTTCTATATAAATAGATTCTGCAATTACGATTGTTGTATGTTTTTTTATTATTGGGTATCGGATTATTTTTTACGATTCCTATTGATTAAGTTTCTAAGTAAATGTATGTAGGTACTTTGCTTCGCCATATTTGATAATCTAAGAAAAGCATGGAGACCTGTTTGTGTCTGTTTAATATAACAAAGCTATCAGCTATCAGTGCAATACAAAAAAATTGGGTAATTTTTTACATTAGTTGACATTGGAATTGAGACATGAAGTTTAGTCAGGTAGANAGAAACTAAATATAATTGTGATACTATCTTCATTAACAAATCTCGTCGATGACGTATTTCCTTTTTCGCTCACCGGTCTGCTGCTGGTTCTACGTTTTATGAGTTTTAGTCGGTTTTAGTAGTGATTTGTTATGTGCATTTTTGATAGAAAAATTTAAAAAATACAGGTACACACAAAATTTCTATATAAATAGATTCTGCAATTACGATTTTATCTGTTGTATGTTTTTTTATTATTGGGTATCGGATTATCTTTTACGATTCCTATTGATTAAGTTTTTAAGTAAATGTGTATGTACTTTGCTTCGCTATATTTGATAATCTAAGAAAAGCATTGAGACCTGTTTTTGTCTGTTTAATATAACAAAGTTATCAGTTATCAGTTCAATACAAAAAAGTTGATTTTATAAAGTTTTTTGGTAATAAAATTAGCGTTTATAAAAAAGAATAAGTGCATAGTTGCTATAAACTAATTAATACACTTGTTTTTAAATAGGCTTTACAATACCAAGGGTCTTAAAAATAGATTATGCTGCAACGTAATAATATTAATACTGCGAAGAGCTTTTGTGAATGTAACGTTCCTTCCACACTAATAAAGAGCCTCGAAATATTTTGGGTAAGATTTTAAAGATTTTAGCGTTTAATAATTTTACTTTATTCAATCTAATTCCAATTTTCAAGAAATTTTATTTATTGTAGACACAACAACTTCTTCACCATTAAATTATTATTGTTGTATTGTTTGTCTACAATTAAAATTTATTGAAATTAGGAGTTTAATTTTTTTATAATATAGACACGTTTTAACAAGAAAAGTATTAGCTTATACAATCCGTAGTTTTACATTCAATTATTTTAGTAGCTTTTTGGTGCATGTTTTTAAAACATTTCATATCTTTTTTATATAGAAGTGTAACTAATCCTTAAATAATAGGTTTTTTGTTTATTTCTGCAGATTATCCAACAAATGAAAGAACAATTAAAGTCTACATGAATGGCGTCTATCCTGAACTACATTCTTGATTTGCTGTTTTCGTCTTCACCTTGCAACGCTATACAGATAATTTTTAATTATGGGTGAAAGCAACTGAAGATTTATTTGAATTCCATTGAAACAACAATTTTTCTGCCATGGAATTCTTCCTGGATTTGGTTTGCTTATCACACCTGCAAACTCTGGAATGTCACAGTCTACATTTAATAATTAAGGTGAGAATATGTAATTAATTTATTTTAAGTCTTCATTTAAAAACTTGTAAGTCATAATTAATGTTTTTAGATTATTACAACTTTCCATTATTAACTTAGGCATGGTACTTATTGTAACTAATTTCATTTGAAAACAATTATTTAAAGAAAAATGCTTATAAAGTTCATTACTGTCAGTATACAATATATTTTTGATGTTAAAAGAGGAAAGGATTCGGCATTACTTTAATATCATATTATGCAGGTTTTTTAATAGGGAGGCTAGATTAATTATATCTAATTACTCTCATAATATTTTATTTTTTAGGATAAAAACTCGGAATGACATGTGTTATAAAACATTGGTTGCTTGTTCACTCTGTAAAGTAGCAGTACCTACAGTCCTGAAGAAAGCGTGAAGGTGCTTATTTGCATTGGGAATTGAGACAATGTGTTATTGT